AATATTGTGCTAATTATCAGTATTGAACCAAAGAAAGCAAGGCAGATACTAGCCTTTAAAATTTTTTGTCAGGGGTATTAGGTTTTTTATTGTGTACCAGACAAGAATAAATATGTTCTGTTTGTAAAATAAACCTGCCTGATGTATTAATTTTGTTCTTTTTCAGGATTAAGATTTATTTGCTAAAATTATCATCCTTCAATAAAAGAGAAAAACTTATGAGTCCCAGGGAACTGGTAATCTGAATTAGATTTTTATTATTAATTGCACTCAATTTTGTAATACTTTTACTAAGTAAAAATAAAGGATTTCTTTTTAGCAATCGTCATTATTTGTAGAGAAATTTTATTTGATCTCGTATTTGAGTACAGCTTTTCAAGGAGAATATGCCACTCGCAATATCGCGACCGCGCTGACGTTTCGCTTTAAAGGATTCGAAGCCTACAGGAATCGGGGTGGATCAGGAAGTGTTTTTTTTTTTTTTTTTTTAAGTTTAGTTTTGTTCTGCAGGCTAAAGTTTGGAAACTTCAGTATCGAACAATGGCAGGTCAGAGAACCAACTTTGAAATGTAAAGACGGTACTTATGCTGTGTTGTATTCAGAATTAGAATCAGCTTTATTTGCCATATTTGTACGGAAAAACAAGGAATTTGGTTTCGGTTTCGGTAAAACCGTCGTTGCTTACTCCTGCCAACGTAAGCGACGACTCTTGCTTCCTTCTGTTATCTTAAAGAAAACGACATTTTTTTACATTTAAAAAACGAGTTTTATTTAAGGTTTTCTACATTAACCCTCAACAGTCATGTATCATTTTGTGTTTGCATTGGGTTTATTTGAACTATTTTATCTTGTTGGGCTCTTTTTGTTCGTTTCTTTTTTGTTTATTTCGACGCGGGGGCAGAAATAATTCCCTTAGCCTTTCTTTCACTGCAGTACAGTTTCATGATTTGAGAATAGGATGCATTTTGTTGAGATAACTAAATAACAGTATCTAAATAATGATTACTATTTTTTCCCATGTCTTTGCAATTACAGGTATGGAACTACGGAGAGTGGCATCTCAGTTTGTGGTCAAGGCGTCCGGAGCAGTACTTCATCAGCTCCTGGACCGCCTTTTAGAAGACGGTGTTTTGAAAGATGAAGAGGGATATTCAATACGTAAGGAAATGCTTACTAGAGCCAGTAAGGCACGTCGTCTCATTGACTGTGTGATCAAAAAAGGACATACAGCCAGCAAAAAGCTGATTGATCACCTACAGAAGATAGACCCAGTTCTTCACCATGAGTTGGGTCTGTCCAGTGCTCAACCTGGTATGTCAGGTAAGAGGAAAAAATGTTATATTTAATCTTATCCAGACCCATAAACGGTTCTTGGAATCCTTGGCAAAGATGCGTAAAAAGCATAAAAATTGATGGATCTTTTATTGGAGTATAACATTGTCTTAAGGCACATGCCTGTCCACCCAAAACCCTTAATGACTCCATTCAAATTCTTAAAAGCTTTGTTTAACTCAATAAAACTGTAAAAAAAAAAAAAAAAGCTTCAGTAATATTTTTAAAATGCTACGGGTTAAAAAAAAATATATATCCTGTATCCTGTATATGTCTACAGATAATAGATATAGTTGTGAAAAGAAGTACTTCAACAAGTACAGTAGTGAAGATATTAAGAAACTATATTTATTGTTTAGTTCGACCAACACCTTTTGTGCCAATCGTGGAAGTGTTCTCAAAAACCGAAAGAAGAAGGAAGGAAAATGAACAGGTCAGTAATTAAATTATGCAGTATGAAATACGGGCTGCACAGTGGCGCAGTTGGTAGCACTGTTGCCTTGCAGCAAGAAGGTCCTCGGTCTTTCTGCATGGAGTTTGCATGTTCTCCCTATGCATGCGTGGGTTCTCTCATGGTACTTCGGCTTCTTCAGTCCAGGTTGACTGATCTCTTTGAATTCTCCTTAGGTGTGCATGGTTGTTTGTCCTGTCGGTCTCTGTGTTGCCCTGTGATGGACTGGCAACCTGTCCATAGTGTACCCGACCTCTCACCTGTCCCGTTTACTGGTAGAGATGGGCACCAGCACCCCTCGCAAATCCACAAGGGTTAAGCATATTGGATGATGGATGGATGTATAAAATATCCTTAGTTTGAAAGATCAGGGTAAACTTTGGCAACATATTAGTGAATTTAATGGAACAGGATCATCTCATGGATGGTTTTTCACACCTACGCATTGTTTTGTGTAAACAAAATAAATCAGTCAGTTCTTAGAAACCAGCATTAAATTTTTTTGCTTCCCTTGCCTATTTGTCATTTGTCTCTCAGGTCTATCCTGTGACCCAAACCTCCTTGAGGAACCGCGTAGCTCTGCTGATCACTAATGTCAAGTTTTCTGAGAACTTAATAATCAGACGGGGAGCAGAGAAAGACGAGGAGAACATGGAGAAACTGCTTTCTAATCTGGGATATGAGGTGGTGAAATACACAAACCTCACTGGAAAGGTACTTCATTCTAGACGGGAGATTAAATGAAACAGATTCTTGTCTGATTAATTAATTAATTATTAACTGGTGACATGATTTTCTGTCTTCTTTCAGGCGATCGATGAGGCTTTAATTGAATTCACTAAACATCCCAAACTAAAACACACCGACAGCGTGTTTGTGGTTATCATGTCTCATGGGCAGCTGGGGAAAATTCTTGGGGTTGACTGGAAAGAGGAAAAACCAGATGAATTTCCAATCAACAACATTTTCAAACACTTGGGCTCCAAGGGCTGTCCAGCGCTAATAGATAAACCAAAGGTCATCATCATACAGGCCTGCAGAGGAGGTGACTCAGATCTGCTGCTGTAGATACCAAAGCTCACTGTGAGTTAATGTAAGGGTCTCGTCTCACCTGATTACCTTTTTATGCTTCAGAACGAGGAGGAAGGGTTCTGGTCAGTGACAGTCCAAACACAGCGGATTATTTTTCGCCACCTGGAGACCTTGAAGCAAATAAGTTTCAACATTTACCTTTGGAAAAAGACTTCATTTATCTTTTCTCTGACATGCCAGGTGGGTTTAAAGTGAAACATTAGATACATTTGTTTGTAATTTCATTACTTTTTAATACTTGCTCATCTCCCTCCAGAAATTATATTCTTCAGACAAAATCGGGAGTCTTTCATCGAGAACATTGTAAATGTTTTCAGGACAAAGTCATATCAGAAAGATATTTCTCAGCTTTTTGAAGAGGTAGGTATGGTAAACAAAAATGTTCAGTGTGAAGTAGGCACAAAATATAAAAAAAAAAAAAAAAAAAAAAAAGTTTTTTAAAAATATTAGCTTAAATTAATCACTACAAATAAGCAGTAAAATAGCTTGTTACTGATTGATGCTGATTTAGTCTTGAAAGATTTTCTTAATTGTTTCGTCCCAACAGGTTGTCCATTCCTTTACACACACTGGACTTCTTGGTCGACCACAGATGCCAGCCATAATTAGATGCACATTGATAAAACACTTTTATCCCCTTACGGGAATCAGGTATGTAGCATCTTGTTGAAACTCATAATCTTAACAAAACGCTTCAGTCAGAGGCGCAAAAAGGGGGTATGCAGCGTATGCAACGCATAGGTGCGCAGCACCAGAGGGGGCGCCAAAACCCCGTCTGGAGGGGGTGACGCGCGGATTGTTTTCCCATACACTTCGGGATGTATGGGAAAACATCCCGAAGGGGGAGGGGGGGGGGGGGGGGGGCCGGGTTTTTTTTTTTCCTCCCCCCCTAAAACCCAAAA